CCCTACTCCTGCCCTACTCCTGCCCTGCTCCGTGCCCTGCAACGCGGCCCCGTTGCCTTGCAGACGCCTGCGGGCTGTCGGACCCGGCGCACGTGGAGACGCTGCAGGAGAAGGCGCAGGTGGCGCTGACCGAGTACGAGCGCGCGCAGTTCCCGGCGCAGCCGCAGCGCTTCGGGCGGCTGCTGCTGCGGCTGCCCGCGCTGCGCGCCGTGCCCGCCGCCCTCATCTCGCAGCTCTTCTTCATGCGCCTGGTGGGCAAGACGCCCATCGAGACCCTGATCCGCGACATGCTGCTGTCCGGCAGCACCTTCAACTGGCCCTACGGCGCCGCGCAGTAGGCACGGACGCACGGACGCACGCACGGACGCACGGACGCACGGAGAGCAGGATGGGCCAGAAAATGCAGCGGGCCGGACAATGGATGGGCCGGACAACAGGATGGGCTGGACAACTGGACAGACCAGAAAATGGAACAGGATGGGCAATGGGACGGGCCAGACAACGGGATGGGCTGGACGATGGGATGGGCTGGAGAATGGGACAGACCGGACGATGGGATGGGCTGGACAACAGGACGGGCTGGACAACGGGACGGGCTGGACAACCAGACAGGCCGGAGAATGGGACAGACCGGACAATGGGATGGGCAGGGCAATGGGACAGGATGGGATGGACAGTGGGACAGACTGGACGATGGGATGGACCAGACAATGGGATGGGCCGGACGATGGGATGGACCGGACAACGGGACGGGCTGGACAACCAGACAGGCTGGAGAATGGGACAGACCGGACAATGGGATGGGCAGGGCAATGGGACAGGATGGGATGGACAGTGGGACAGACTGGACAATGGGATGGACCGGACAATGGGATGGGCAGGGCAATGGGACAGGATAGGATGGACAGCGGGACAGACTGGACAATGGGATGGACCGGACAATGGGATGGGCTGGACAATGGGACAGGATGGGATGGACAGCGGGACAGACTGGACAATGGGATGGGCCGGACAATGGGATGGGCAGGGCAATGGGCCAGACGTCCCCCCAGAACGGGATCAGCATTCTCCTCAACGCTGGCGGCTCCTGGTCCCGCCCGAATGGGGCCGCGCCCTCGCGGGTTGTGCCTGGAGAGTTTTGGGTTTGGTGCCAAAGGTTTTAGGGTCCTGATGGTGTCCTAAAAGGTTTTGGGGTCCTGATGGTGTCCCAAAAGGTTTTGGGGTCCTAGCATTGTCCCCGGAACTTGTGGAGTCCCGGCATTGTCCTCAAAACTTTTGGGGTCTTGAGGTTGTCCCCAGAAGAGGTCCCAGTGTTGTCCCCAGAAGTTTTGGGGTCCTGGTGTTGTCACCAAAGGTTTTGGGGTCCTGGTGTTGTCCCCAGAAGAGGTCCCAATGTTGTCCCCAGATTGTCCCCAAAAGTTTTGGGGTCCTGGCGTTGTCCCCAAAGGTTTTGGGTCCTGGTGTTGCCCAAAGAAGTTTTGGGGTCTTGGCATTGTCACTGGAATTTGTGGGCTTCCATCATTCTCCCCAAAAGTTTTGGGGTCCTGAGGTTGTCTCTGAAGATTTTGGGGTCCCAGTGTTGTCCCCAGAAGAGGTCCTGACGTTGTCCCCAAGAGTTTTGGGGTCCCGGTGTTGTCCCCAGGGTGTCCCCAAAGGTGGAGGGGACACACAGGGGACACAGCCCCGCCCAGGACTGTCCCCACCCAGCTGGCACCAGGATGAGCCAGGACGTCAGGATTTGGGACGTCAGGATTTGGGACGTCAGGATTTGGGATTTTGGGGTTCCGGGACCATTCCCGGCCGATGGAATCCTCGCTCCGCCATATAAACTCATTAATTAACGCCAATTAAAGATGTTTCCTACAACTCTGGAGGTCTGGAATGAGGCAGGATTTGGGATTTAGGGATTCGGGATTTCGGGATTCGGGATTTCGGGATTTGGGATTTCAGGATTTGGGATTCCAGGACCATTCCCCGCTGATGGAATCCTCGCTGCGCCATATAAACCCATTCATTAACGCAAATTAAAGACATTTCCTACAATCCCAGGGGTCTGGATTTGGGATCCAGCAGAAAAATTGGAACTGGGGAGATCAAACCTCCCAAAAAAAGGGGAATGTTCCATAAAAGTCCTGAAATTGGGATTTTTGGAGGGGAGAAATTGGGGATTTCAGGAGTTCTGCTTCAGTTCGGGTTTTTTTTGGGAAATAAATCCCACTGGGATTTGGGGGGGGTTGGGTTTCTCTTCCCAGGGTTTGAGGGGATTTGGGATTTCTCTTCCTAAACAGAGAGATTTGGGATTTCCTTCCCAGAGTGGAGAGATTTGGAATTTTTATCCCAAGATTCGTGGGGATTTGGGTTTTCTTTTCCTGAGCTGGGAGGGTTTCGGGATTTCCCCTCCAAAACTGGGAGGGTTTCGGGATTTCCCCTCCCAAATTTAGGACAATTTCTGCCTTCCTATTTCACCCCAACCCCAAATGAAAATCAACAATTACACTTAATTTATTACAAAACAATTAAAAATATTACACAATTCCCACAGTTCCCACCAATTCCCTAGGAAACATTTGGGGATTTGGGTCCCCCCCAAAAACAAAACCCCAAAAGCGTTTTTTTATCCCCCATACCCCAACTTGGGAGCCCCAAAACCCCTTTAAGGCAGCCAGGGGAGTGCAAACCCCATAAAAAATCCTATTTACAACCAGGGGAAGGCACTTGGGGGGATCCCAAAGACTTTGGGGACATTTGGGGACATTTTGGGGTGGGGGGAGTCACACCAACAGCTGCCACCAGCCGCCCCCACCCTTGGCACTGGGGAGGGCTCAGAACGAGGAATTTTGGGGTTTTTTAACACCAAAGAAAGGCACAAAAGTCTTTGGAGGGGTCGGGGGGGTTTTTTTGGGGTGTCCCCCTAAAAATGTCCCTTTTTTGGGGCGCTGGCTGTGCGCTCAGCCCCGCAGTTTGTCGTAGTCGCTCACCATCCGTTTGATGTGGAAGAGTTTGTTCCGGAGCGTTTTGGATTCCCGCTTCTTCTCCTGGTACTCCGGGCTCTGGGAACGCATTTGGGGACGTTTAGGGGACGTCTGGGGACACGGGGATGTCCCCAAAGAGGGGGAGACCCCCCC